ACCTAGAGGCTATTATCTCAATTAAGACAGTGGCAGGAAAGTCCAGCTGTGGCCTGTTTCACGCTACTCCAGCCCTTGAATACTTCCCAAGGATGGTCCCACTGTGGTACAAAAGAAATAGTTGAACACTAAAAACCAAGGTTCAAGAGTTTGACATTTTCCTGGCATAGGAAAGCAATTCTGTTGATTCTTAGACACGCACATTTACTTATACATATGTTGTAAATTATAAATATGTATATATACATATATATCTTAGGTGTACCTGAGTTTCCAGATGTATGATACTGCCATCAAACGATAAAGAACATGACATCACCCCAAAAGAACACTATCGTGGTTCCCAACTGAAAGAAACCTCTTCAAGACAAAAGTTAACATTATAAAAAAAAGACTGAATTCCTTTGCTTTATAAAAATTCATAACTATTATTTTTCTCTTCTTCATGTGCTGAAAGTCAAAGCACATGGAAATGAAACCTTTGAAAATCAAAATGAGCTGTGGGGCTTTGTGGAACAATACAGACTTCCAGCCACTTCTGCAACAAAAAGACTGAAAATTTCTCATATATCCACTTACAGTTGAGGATGTTGCTCAAAATGATACTCTCTACAGCTAAACTCAATCATTCCTTCGATGATGCTCTAAGCGACCATGGCTTTGTGATATGTACACTGTGCAATCACAGTAAACTTGCATGGATATCGCCCTACTCAGAGAATAAACTGAGAAAGTTTTAGAACAGTGCAGACTTAAATAATACATGGATTGCTGCTACTTTTTAAAATGAAGAGGTAGAAAACTGCACAATATTGAACTTTTTTCCACTCAAGTAATGGGCAGGTCTCGTTTGCATTCCTGTTGATTTCAAACATGTAATATAAAGATGTAAAAAAATAAAAAGTGCAGAGTCTACAAGTTCTTTGTAATCTTCAGCTTGTGCATAATTGTTTTAGTTTTTTTTTTTTTATGTTATTGTTTGAACTATCCCATCTCCACTGTTTCTCTTTGGGGTTTTAAAATATAAATTATTAGTTTGTATCATTTTTGTATCTACATTTTTTCATGAATTTATCTTGCCTTTTAAAATTCTGTAAAATATTCTTAAATGGAAAAAAATGACGTTCACTTAGATTGAAAACTTTTCTCAGGTAGAGTGATAATCGCATTCATCATCTTGTTTTATGAGGTGGCATGACAACTCCCTGTTGATTCTGTTTAAATGGATTTTGTCTTCTGTGATAAATTGTTGTGTAACAGTAAATAGAAAAACAAAAGCTTGTTACCCATGCTAACTTCATGTGTCAACTTCTATATTCACACATATTATCTCATTACTAAAATGTTTTGGCAATTTTATAATTTGCAGTTAGCAAATTTTGTATGTGATTTCCTTCTTAAAGATATCACATAGAGCTGACAGGAGATTTAGGTTTTAAGTCGTTTGCATGTGAATATCAAATCACACTTTGGTAGTCTCTGAATAATGATTTAAAAAACACACCAAAACAATGTCCGAACTCATGACCACATATCCTTTATACAAAATGTTTAACAATTGCAAAAATGAAGATGAATCATAGGTATATCTTTATCTTTATGGGGAATCTTTCCTGTTAATCACAAGAATTCAGGACTTTCTTGCTGTGCTCTATTCTACACGTAAGCGGTTCTTGAAACAGTGTTTAAATACATTGCATGGAAAAAATTCAAATTGTCAACATTGACACCATCACTCACTGAGGCTCCTACCCTAACACCAAAGATATATAAACACTCCAGCCTCTCTACTATCTCGCATGTCATCATTTACTTTCCTTCAAAGTCTTTATTTCCATCTTATAAACCAACATTTACCATTTGTAATTATCTCTTTTCACATAAAAATATAAGCATCAGCACTGCAAAAATCTTGTTTCCTGCCTCTATATCCAAATCCGCCAGCACCTTGCTAATTTGTGCTGCATTGGGTATGTTGACTCGAAAGTGCATGGCAGCGAGAGATGTTATAACAATAATATTGGGAGTCTCTGAGCAAGAAAGCCTCGATTGGAATAGCAGTCCTTTTTCTCCAAGGCTAGGTTTCTGTTCTCTCAAATTTACCTAAACATATAAACCTCAGTTGAGTCAAAGAGGAAATGTTTAAAATATGTAGTATACTCAGAAGCAGATTTATATATTTTAACCAAAGTACTTTATGGTAAACTGTGTTGCCATGGGAAATGCAAAAGCTATTGCAAAGGACCAAGTGCTGGTGGCTTCGCCTTTACTGCAAAGTCGACTCTTTTCTTCTTGAAGAGAAAAATGTCACAGATCGCCTTCATTTAAAATAACCAGTGACCATGATGAACTAAGACATTTATAAGTGTATTTTGTAACCACATACCTAACAATGTTAATAAATAAAGTTCTAAATCACAAAAATGACCAATATCCCACCCTCTCTTACTAACAGGACTAACTGGGGTGTCTTACTAGTTTAGTTACACTACATTGTTTTTGCCTTGTAGAAAACGATTATGATCACCAATGATAATAAGGTCTACGATCCCTGGGCATTAAATACACAATAATGTCTTTTTTTCTTGAATAGCAATTGAACTCTCAAACACAAGCCAAAAATCATAAGTCGTCATTTGCAGCACCACGTTACTCTAATACTCAGAGTTTGTGGTCATTCTCATTAGAATTCATTACATCCCTCTTTTTGACTACAGGTGTGATCCCCTGGGTGACTGGCAAGAGGGCACTGATAAAAATCATGATTTGAACCTTTATATTAAGAAAGAATAAAAAAAATTTCATGACGAAATTTGTAACTATAAAATACAAATAAAATTTGCCTGAATAAAACACCTGAATTTGTATGTACATATGATTAACACATCATGTTATATGTGTGTGTGTGTGTGCGCACATATATATATGTGTATATATATGATTAAATCAAGAAAACTGCAAAGTTTACCTGGAAATCCAGTTATAATGAGACATTTTCACATATCCTCTCAACATGTTGAAAACACATTAGTTAACATTTGATGACTTAAACAGTTTAAAGTATTTCTAAGAAATAACTGGAGAAGTGTTCCTTTGATTGAAAATAGTATGTACATTTAATCACATACAAGCAAATATTTGAAAACATCCTGAGGGATCACAGTGAGCTAAAAGTGACAGGAAACACCACCAAGTATTCCTGACAGGAGGAAGGTGCTTATTCTCACATGGAAGGACCAGACCAAGGCAACCACTGTCCAGTGCAGCAAAGAAACAACCTCCCATGTTGTTCTTTTCGAATGAATCATTGTAGATGTCATGAGAAAAACGGGAATACTTTTAACAGCATAAGGTGTTTCCTGTTCAAATTAGGCCTTATATGTATGTAATTTAAAGAGGGGATTCAGACAATAATCGCAAAAAGGAAACTGAATTAAATTCATGGTAGACTACTCAAGAGGTCTTACAGAAAAATCCAGACTTTGATGGATTTTTGATGTGGATCTTGTGAAGACATCAGTGAAAACACACACCTCTAAGAAAAAGGAATCAAAAAGTTGAGGACGCTTTTGATGGGAAAAGCAAAAAATATGAAAAATTAGCTGAAAGGTGATTTCTTCAGAGCTCTTATATATCTGCCTTTCTCCTGATATGGTGGCATCGAAATATGATTAATGCTTTCTTAACTTCTGCCTTCCAAATGTATGCAAGGCTCTTGGTGAATATTTTTTTTAATTTTTTTGAGGGCTGGACTTGACTAATCTTTTATTTCATTTTACTTCTTAAATTGTTTATTGGGGTAATATTGGTTAATATAATTATATAATTTTCAGGTGTACATTATAATTTGACATCTGCATATTCTATTGTTTCCCAAAGTCCAGTTTCCTTCAGCTACCATATATTTGATCCCCTTTACCCACTTCACCCTCCCCAAATCCACTATATTTGACCCCTTTACCTCACCTATCTCCCTCCACCTCCCCCACCCTCTACCCTCTGATAATGACTAGTCTATAGTCCATGTCCATGAGTCTGTTTCTTTGTCCTGCTCCTTTGCTGCTTTTAGGTTTATATCCCACATATAAGTCATATCATGTGATTTTCAACTTTTCCTGTCTGGCTTATTTTGCTCAGCATGATTATCTTGAGTTCCATCCATGTTGTCACAAATGGCCGTATTTCATCTCTTCTTATGGCTGAGTAATATTCCATTGTATATATGTACCACAGCTTCTTTAGCCAATCATCTGTCATAGGACACTTTGGTTGCTTCCATGTCCTGGCCACTGTAATGCTGCTATGGAACATCGGTGTGCAGATATCTTTTTGGATATGAGTTTTCCAGTCTTTGGGGTAAATACCCAGTAGAGAGATTGCTGGATCATATATTAGATCAATTCTTAGTCTTTTGAGAAACCTCCATAGTGTTTTCCATAGTGGCTGTACCAATTTGAAGTCCCACTAGCAGTTTATGAGGGTTCCTTTTTCTCTGCATCCTCTCCAACATTTATTATTGCTTGTCCTGTTGATAACAGCTATTCTAACAGGTGTGAGATGGTACCTGATTGTGGTTTTGATTTGCATTTCTCTAATAGTTAGCAGTGTTGGGCATCTTTTCATATATTTGTTGGCCATTTCTACGTCCTCTGGGGAGAAGAGTCTGTTCAGGTCCTCTGACTATTTTTTGATAGGATCATTTGTGTTTTTTTATTGTCAGTCGTATGAGTTCTTTGTATATTTTGGATATTAGGCCCTTACTGGAGGTGTTGCTTGCAAATATATTTTCCCATTTGGATGGTTCTCTCTTTACCTTGTTTATGGTTTCTCTTGGTGAATTCTAACATGAAATCATAAAGAAAATGGATTCTGAACAACCTAATTTGTAATATTACCCACGAGGGGGGATGCCTACAATTCTAGTTTTATTCTATGACAGGTCTCTTTTGTTAAAGTCTATCCACCACATACAGTCAAAAGGAAGGTCAAACAAGAAAGGCTGAAACAAGAAAAAAATTATACTTTCATAAACTTATTATACATAACTTATTCCAAATGAATTGATATGGAAAATAAAAAATGCTCTTATAACTGCCATCCCCTCCCCACAAAATCTTTGGCAGTAAAAGTTAGGATATATACAGGGAACTAGGCATACCCAGGTACTGTCACTAGGCCAGTAGGAAAATCCAAATATCAAACTGTCCTTTTTAAATGTAGCCTTAAAATGTAACCAATACAGTATTATAAAAATTGAACTTAATTGCATATTATAAATACACTTCGATTTATTCATGGATCCAACCGATTTCAAAGGAGAAAAATAAAATATTAACTGATTTAAGGAAAATGCAATACCTATTAATCTTATGTATTATGGTTGAAAGATGACTCAGAATTATCTCACTTCAATAATTAGTTCATAAATTAGGAAAAATCCACATCCCAACGATGCACTTTTGTAAAGAAGCTGGATAAAACATATTTAGACATTTAATAACAACTCTCATGTGAAAAGTTTTCTGGAACATTAAACGTGGCTTAATTTCCATCAAGTTTTTTCATGGTACTTATATTTTATTTGGTGAATTTTCTCTTATAAGGATGTGAATCAATTGAAGTCTTTCCCACACTGTTTACATTCAGGTTTTAACCAATGACCACTTTCATACCTTCAGAGAAAACTGGGATTAAAGCTTTCTGCACATTGCAAACATTCAAATGGTGTCTACAGTGTGCACTTTCACGTCTTCAAATGGTTTGTAACAAATAATGGCTTTACCAATATTTATATTCATGTGGTTCTCTCCAGTGTTCTCTCATGTAGACCAAGATAACTGGAATAACTATGTATTACAGCATTTTGTACACTCAACAGCTTTTCTCCACTGAGATGTCTTTCAAATACGTGTAAACATAGATGAGAACTGAAAGCTTGACCACATTGCTCAATTCACAGGGTCTCTCCTGTCTTTATGTGTTGGTAAAAAATTAAAGTCCATAGGCTTTATGTTCATAGTGTTTCTGTCCAGTACGATTTCTTTGGAGTGTTTTAAGGAAATGTAATCCCTGCAGGCTTTACCGCCATTTTTACATTCATAGAACTCTCTGTAGCATGATTTTGCATGTTTTACCAGATAGTTAAAACACCTGAATATTTTATTCATTTTTCACATTCTTATGGTTTCTCCAGTGTGATTCATTTTATGTTTATAAAGAGAACTACAATAACGGTATGCTTTAGTACACTGCTTACATTTGTAGGGTTTCTCTCCAGTGTGAGTTCTCTCATGTGATTTTAAGAAATGGGACTCTCTGAAGGCTTTACCACACTGTTTACATTCGTAGGGTTTCTCTCCAGTGTGAGTGCTCTCATGTGATTTTAAGAAATGGGACTCTCTGAAGGCTTTACCACACTGTTTACATTCGTAGGGTTTCTCTACAGTGTGTATTCGTTCATGTGTCTGAAGATAACTGACACAACTGAATGCTTTACTACATTGCTTACATTTATAGGGTTTCTCACCAGTGTGAGTTCTCCCATGTGTTTGTAATTTAAAATAATCTATATAGGCTTTTCCACATTCCTTACATTTATAGAGTTTCTGTTCAGTGTGCATCCTTTTATGTTTACTAAGAGAACTGGGACAACTGAATGCTTTAGTACACTGTTTACATTCGTAGGGTTTCTCTCCAGTGTGAGTTCTCTCATGTGTTTTTAAGAAACGGGACTCTCTGAAGGCTTTACCACACTGTTTACATTCATAGGGTTTCCCTCTAGTGTGTATTCTTTCATGTGTTTGAAGATAACTGACACAACTGAATGCTTTACTACATTGCTTACATTTATAAGGTTTCTCACCAGTGTGAGTTCTCCCAGTTGTTTGTAATTTTCAGTAATCTATGTAGGCTTTTCCACATTCCTTACATTTATAGAGTTTCTGTTCAGTGTGCATCCTTTTATGTTTACTAAGAGAACTGGGACAACTGAATGCTTTAGTACACTGATTACATTCGTAGGGTTTCTCTCCAGTGTGAGTTCTCTCATGTGTTTTTAAGAAACGGGACTCTCTGAAGGCTTTACCACACTGTTTACATTCATAGGGTTTTACTCCAGTGTGTATTCTTTCATGTCTTTGAAGATAACGGAGACAATTGAATGCTTTACTACATTGCTTACATTTATAGGGTTTCTCTTCATTATGGATTCTTTTGTGTTTTTGTAAGTAAGAATGATCTCTGTAAAATTTACCACACTGTTTACATTCATAGGGTTTCTCTGGGATAAGTGAATGCTTTGCTACATATTTTACATTCGTAAGGTTTCTCTCCAGTATGAATTCTTTCATGTATTTTTAAGGAACTGTGATCTCTGTAGGCTTTATCACACTGTTTACACTCATAGGGTTTCTCTCCAGTGTGAATTCTTTCATGTATTTTTAAGGAACTGGGATCTCTGTAGGATTTACCACATTGTTTACACTCACAGGGTTTCTCTCCAGTGTGTGTTCTTTCATGTATTTTTAAGGAGCAGTCATCTTTGGAGGCCTTACTACATTGTTTACACTCATAGGGTTTCTCTCCAGGGTGAGTTAGTCCATGTAATCGAGGTGAACGTGAACAACTGAAAGCTTTCCCACATTCTTTATGTTTATAGGTTTTCTCCTCACTGAGATTTCTTTCACTTTTTCCGAAATAATGGAGATAACTGAAGGCTTTACTACATTCTTTACACTTATATGGCTTCTCTCCACATTTCCGAAACTCATATGCTTTGTGTCCAGTGTGACATCTGATGTGCCTATTACAAGATGAATGTTGTATGAAGACTTCTCTACGCACACTGTATTCCCATGGTTTTACTCTCGGCAAAGTTTTCTTCTTCGGACTGAGATTTGAAATAAGACTGCGGTTTTTCTCACACTGACCACTCGCTTCACTTTCATAGATTCTCTCTTCTATATGACTTCTGTGAAAATTAAGATGAACATTGTTCATGATTTCTCATTAATATTTTAGCATTTTGTAGCATATCTGAACTACATTTTTATGATTTATAGCAAAAGTGTAGGTTTTCTGCTGCCTCAATTGGCCGAATTAAAGATACTACATTCTCCACAAGAGGACTTCACCCTTGCAATTATTAAAACAATGATATTCACATATAGGGTTTATTAATATCATTTCCTAGTCAACTATTTTGCAAACACAAACCATCTGTATCACATATAAGAAAGTAATTTGGTAAAAAAATTTTTGAGAAATTATAAATTTGACGAAGGGGTTCTTTTGCTTGCTTCCTTTTAAAATTTTGTAGCATACAAGGATGCCCACATATAACACTGGCTAATATTGTACGTGTGACTCACCTCAGTTTTCTCCCATGGTTTTTATATTGATCTTCAGGATCATAATCTTCCACTCTTTTTCCTAAAAGCAGACCCCCCCAAAAAAAATTCCAAAGTATTAGAAATTATGGGAAAATTATTAGATTTTAGTTCTGTGGTGAGCTGTGACCATCCCCAGTTTATTTATCAATGCCCTGCATTTCCACATTCCATTGTCTTAGAACAATTCCGATAAGCAACAAACATCACCTCTAATTAAAGTGAAGATGAAGCTGTCACGCATACCTACTGAGGCCAGGTTCTCGAAGGTTTCCCGCATCACATCTCTGTAGAGTTTCTTCTGTGTAGGGTCTAGTAAAGCCCACTCCTCTGGGGTGAAGTTCACAGCCACATCCTCAAAGGTCACTGAGTCCTATAATATCCCAAATATGTGTATAGTAAAAGTTGTAAGACTGATAGCACTTGACACTTATACTCCATGTATAGACAAGTTACCTATGATTCCGTCATCTCCAAACATTTATTTTATAACTTGATCATCAAAAACTTACTCTCGGTCCACACTTACTTCCTCATTATTTTAACACCATCACGAATTATATTTTTACTGTGATCACATTACATCTCATTTTTCCCTAAGGCAGGGTCCACAGCATGTTGGAAAATGACAGAAATGAAAACAAACATCATTTTCAGACCATTAATTTCTTATGAGAAAAATTCTTTCTTCTCCTTCCTTAATCTCTACCATTTACAGCATTCCGTGAAGCAGTGGGTCACTTCAGCATGCGGTATTAATAAAAACATGAAGAAGCAGAAGCTTTTTCTTCTATCCCCATTACTGAGAGGCTTGGGTAATGGTTAGCATTTTGTAGTATTAAATATTTTAATTAAGGTATGTACATTGGTTGTTTAGACATAGTGCTAGTTCACACTTAATAGACTACAGTAAAGTATAAACATAACTTTTATATATACTGGACATCCACAACATTCATGTAAACTACTTGATTAATATTCACTTTATTGCCATGGTATGAAATCACACCTGCAATATCTCTGAGTTATGTCTATAATGAGATACAACTGGCTAAATGGAAATATTCTTGTTGGGAAGCATTGCTTTTACCTTGTGTAATATTTATCACAGACTCAGTTCTTCCTTTCTCTCTCTGTAGGATTTTATGGTGTAGACAGTTAATTTGGAACTTAGAGCACAGATATTAGGAAGAAGGCATGACAACTTAGACCACAAAATCCCTATACTCAGGTGCCTCAGGGCTACTTCCAGCCTATTTTTGGCACACACAGGCACACATAGAGATAATAATATGGTTTTGCAAGAAAAAGTACTTCTGGGGTAACAGTCGATCCTTAGCCCTGCTGACAATGGAGGAACAGGTTAATAGCTGCAGATTGCAAAAGAGTTCATTCACATCCACAGTGGCTTGGTGGTGAATTTACCTTTGATTATAGCATATGTAAATGTGTGCGCACTTAGGCAGCACATATACTAAAGGAGGAACAATACAGAGAAAATTAGCATGGCCTATGATCAAGGATGACATGTAAATTCATGCCATATTTTAAGAATAGAAAAAAATAATAGAAAAATAAAAATAGGTAAAGGTGTCAGCAGTGCTTTCTTCCAAAAGAACAATTCAACATCCACTCTCTAATCAGGAAGAAGCATTTCCCGACCAGCCACTCTAAAGGTTGCCCATCCTTCTTCGGTCATTGCCAAGTTTCCCCATGCAGTAAAGGAGCATGATCTCTCAACCCCAGAGCATAAGAATGCCAGGCATATGACACCATACATGGCCAATAGGGTATGAAAGGGTTTATTGCTCCCATAATTGAGTCTCTAGGGAGAGCAAGGTAGAACTTTCAAACAGGCATGAAATAGACAGAGAACAAGGAAAGGTAGACAAACTTGTTCTGTATTGCGGTTAGGTGAGCCTTCACACACAAAGATGGGAGCTTGCGTGGTTTTTAATCTCTTCTACCACAAGGGAGAAGATACTAAGGTGTTCTTATCACCTTGTACAGATGTGGGGCACAAGGCAAAGGAGGAGGGATGAGGCTCTAAAGCTGTCAGCAGTAAATGATAAAAAAAATGGAGTCAGAGACTTCTGGTTTCTGGTCTGGCATTTAAGTAACTTAGAAGCTGTCATTTCCTCCCTTTCTATAAAAAAAAAAAAAAAAAAAAACTAAAAAAAGGAAATAAAAAAAAAAAAAAAAAAAAAAAAAAAAAAAAAAAAAAAAAAAAAAAAAAAAAAAAAAAAAAAATAAACAGGGCACTCTGAAATATACCCCAGATATTCAATTCTTAACATGGCCTGTACTCAACAAAAAATATACTTCAGCAATCTCATGCAAAGACAAAAAAGAACAAAAAAGAACAAAATACCCATGAGCCCTAGGATGACATGCTTTACACTAAAGGTTTAAAAACACATTACGGGAATATATGAATGAAAACCGAGAAAAGAACAGAAGAAAGCAGTGAACAAACAATACTGAGATTTTCTTAAGTTTAACAATAGACAGCACACTATAGATTCAGGATGCTCAGAGAACGTTCAATATTATAAACTAAAGTGCAGGACCAAGTACGTCACATACAAACTAGACAAAAAATCAAGACAAAGAATATATTGAAATAAGTGAGAAGAAAAAAGCACCTTAGTCATTAAAAAACAAAGATTAAAACTAAATCAGGCTTCTTTTCAAAAATCATGCAAGCTTGAAGAGTGAAGAGAAATATTTCAAGGTCTGAAAGAAAAAGACCACTCTCCTAAAATTGTGACAAGCAAAATTTTCCTTCAAAAGTGAAGAAATAAAAACTTTCTGAGACAAAGATTGCAGGAATTGTTCATTAGTACATCCACCTGGAAAACATTCAAAAATTCATTAGAAAGAAAGTAAATGATAAAGGTAAGGAGTTACAAAAACATGAAGGTTAACAAGGCTTTTGTATTTCTTAAAATTAGTATAACAGATGACACTTTGCTGAAAGTAATATTATCAACCATTTATTTGGCAATTATAAGCTTATGAATAACTGACATAAATGACAACAAGGTAACAAGGACAAAAAGGAGAAAACTGGGAGACATTATAAGGTACTTGCACAACCGGTGCAGTAGTGTGCTATGACTTAACATAGAAGGCAACTTAGATGTAAATGTATAATGAAAACTCAAGAGCATCCACCAAAATAGTTTTTTAAAGTACGTGTAATTGATATCTTAAGACGGTAAAATACTCAATTAAAGCCAAAGAAGACAGAAAAAGGCAGAAAACAAAATAAAACAAAGAACAAGGCCAACATAGAGAAGAAGAGAAGATATCAAAAGCATGGTGGCTTGACGGACCCCTTGATCTCTCCCCTTGATAATACAAATTCACAGAAGAGACATACACCTCCCCAGGAAATAAAGTACATTTTTTTCTTTTGCTACCCAGCAAAGATCAGGAGGCCTGGGCAGTACAGGCAGCTTGTGTGCCACTGACTGGAAAACAAGGGAAAAATCTTTTCTTATCAATGGTCTAACAAGGCATTACTATTAATAATAATATAACATTTTTAAAAACAGAGTTCATTCCATAAATGCATAGGTGGAGAGATGATCAATCAAATACCATGTATGACCAATGTAACAGGGCAGCTCAAAAAGAATCTTTAAAAGCTCCAGAAAATAAACTTAAAGATATGAAAATATGTGATTTCAATCATGTAGAATTCAATATTGCAATTTTGAGAAAACTCAGAGATGCAAGAAAACTCGAATAAGGTAGATTAATGAACTCAGAAATAAAGATCAAGGAACAAAACGAATGCTTTACTAAAGAACTTGAAACTTTTAAAAGAACCAAATAGAAATTCTAGAGCTGAAGAACTCAATAAAAAAAAGATAAGGAATGACTAGAGTTTGGAATTCAAGAAGTCAACAGAACACCCTATTATCTCAACCCAAAAAGAACTTCACCAAGACACATTGTATTAAATTATCAAAAATCAATGACAAAGACAAAATTCTCAAGGCAGCCAGGCAGAAAAAAACGGTAACTCATAAAGGTAAACCCATTAGATTATCCTTGGATTTCTCAGAGCAAACCTTACAAGCCAGGAAAGAATGAAAACAAATATTTAAGTTAAGAAATAAAAGGAACTACCAGCCTAGAATGATGTATCCAGCTAAGCTCTCCTTTAGATATGAAGGAAAAATTAAGACTTTTCCAGATCCACAAAAATTGAGGGAATTTTCCACTATGAGGCCTACACTACAGGAAATACTGAAAAAGGTCAGTTCACCTAAAACAAATGACAAAAAAAAAAAAATTAGGAGTAAAGTGACTAGAAGGCAAATAGAAGCAGAGGAAGGCAACCCTAAGAACAGGGCATTATAAGCTTAAACAATAAAAGATTTGCTATAGCAAGTACAGTAATGAATGTTCAGCATACATAGGGACGAATTGACACAACAATGACTGAAGGGGGCAGGGATTTAAAGATCCAAATTTGCAAAGGGGAATGGAGATAAAGCATACGTAGAAGAAAAAAGATGAATATATACATATATATAACATATATATATATAACGATCCTTTACATATTCATAATGGTAACCACATGCCAAAGATTCAGAACTGAAGTATGTAACATAAAACAAGAAGGATCAGAGGGAAAAGCCACAAAAACCAACCAAAATAAAACAGAAACACAAGAACATGGAAGCAATGGAAACACTGAGCTACCAGAAAGCAAAAGATAAAGTGGCTATAAGAAGACCTCATAAAATGACTATTTCAATAATCATCCTAAATGTAAATGGATTGAACTCACCAATAAAAAGGCATAGAGTTGCAGAATGGATCAAAAACAAAACCCAACCATATGCTGCCTCCAGGAGACACATCTCAGTTCCAAAGACAAATACAGACTCAAAGTGAAAGGGTGGAAAATGATATTTCAAACAAATGGCAGTCAGAGAAAAGGGGGAGTGGCAGTACTAATATCAGACAAAACAGACTTCAAAATAAAAAAGGTAAAGAAAGATACTGAGGAACACTTCATAATGATAAAGGGAATCATGCACCAAGAAGACATAACACTTATTAATATACATGCTCTCAATTAGGGAGCCCCGAAATATGTAAAGCAATTATTAACAGAACTAAAGAGACACACCAAAACACTATCGCAGTAGGGGACCTAAATACCCCACTGTCAGATATAGACAGATCATTCAAACAGAAATCAAAAAAGAAATACATACTTAATCATACATTAGACCCACTGGACATAACTGGCATTGATAGAGTCTTCCATCCCAAAACAGCTGGTTATACATTCTTCTCTAGTGCACATGGAACATTCTCAAGAATCAACCACATACTGGTACACAA